TCAACACCCACAGACTCAGAAACCCTCAAGCAGTTCTAGTCTGTCCTACTGGTTTGATCACCAAAACAATGAAGAGGAAAATAAGATGTTTACTGTGAATCTAAGGACACAAAACTAATTAGTAGTTGTTTAATCCCCACAACAATCACAACTCTAACCCAGGCAATCTATTCTGGTGCCAAAGGGGGGGTGGGCTACGGAGCAGTACACACACGCACACACACACAGGCAGACTCTGCTAAGAGGTGGCTATACAGACCGCATGCTGTACAGTAACCAACAACTGTGTTAGGTGCCATCAACTCAGTTCCAACCCACACTGAACTGTGTAGGAGAGGATGGAATGCTTCCTGGCACTGCAGTCCCACCCTTACAACTTGCTATACTCAAGCACACTGCTGCAGTCACTGCCTCAATCTAGCGTCTTCTGGCCCTGACTTCACCGAGCGTGATGTCCATCTCAAGGCACTATCCCAAGAGCAAACCCAAAGAACATGAGACAGAGTCTCTCCATTCTCGCCTTTAAGGAAGCATTCTGGCTGGACTGTTCCAAGCCCAGGTTGTCGTTCCTGCTGGTAGCCCATGGTCTGCTCAACATTCTCCCCCATCACCACAGTTCAAAGGTGTCCGTTCTCCAGTCTTCCTTAATAATCGTTCAGCTTCTCGTGCCTGACACCTTTGCAACCCCATGTGTTTGAGAGGGCCTGTATGCCTCGGCCCTTTCAATGCTCCTTTTTCAGAAGAAAATTGGTAAAGCCTGCTTTCTGATGCATCTCTGGGTGGATAAACGTTCAACCTTTCAGGCAGCATCTGGGCACGTTAACTACCTGTAACACCCAACTTCAGGGAAAAACCACTGCTGTTCTTTTGTATGCTGAAGGACACAGGCTGTGGAATTTGTGGTTTTGGCTAGATGGAAATCCTGGCAGGTCCAGAAAGCAATGCTCAATTCCACTTCACTGGCTTTAAAAAATATTTCAACTCTTACAAGCTCACAGGTAGAAATCAATTCTATACTGGCTACATATGGGGCACAGCTTTCCTTCTCCTACTCGAAGGATACTTGAAGCTAAAGTCTTAAAAATCTCCAGCTGTAAAAGCAGCATAAGCGGTATTAACTGTCTGAACCTCAACTGCAAATTTGTTATACCTAGAGAAGCTAATGTCCTCATGAGATACTCAATTTGTACATTATAAACCTGGAAGGGGGGGAGAAAACCAACACACAACACCCCACTGCTCCCGCTAAGCACAAACCCTCAAGGCTGTTAATCTTTAAAGGGGTCGACTTCCACTCAGTTAAAAACTGTTCACATGAACAGAATTAAAAGTACAAACTGTGCATCCTAATTTGGCTTTTCATGCTTTAGCTTTAGGTCCTACGATTTATGTTTTTTTAAAAAATGAACTTTAATCATTTTAATATAAACAGCTGTTTATTAAACTCTTGTATCAGGCATTAATGTTTTTTCATCACCTCATTAAGATCCCAGCAAGATTATAATAGTTTATCATCATGCAACTGAATTAATTCACTGTCCTTAACTAGAACCAACTCACAGGGGAGGCTTTAAACTGCATGGGAAGAGATCAAGAAGGGCTGAAGGACGCCCAGAACCTAAATCCCCTTGGCTTCCAGGCCACACTGGTAACCACTACAGGCTGCAGCACATGAAGGCAGCAAAGGCTCTGAATTATGTGGAGGCAAAATCATCTTCCTATTTCAATGACATCTGTAAAAAGCTAAAGTTGTGCATATCAAACTTTTCAGTTTCTTTTTCATCCATAGATTCCAGCTTAAAAATCCCTGATATCTAGTATACAAGTGGACTAAAACAAGAACATATACCTCGTACCCCAAAATCACAAAGGGTGAGGCTGTGTCTCTAGAAATTTGTAGCTCAATGAACAGGTGGATAAAAAGCTAATGGAGGCTTATTTTAGCATAAGGAAAGGTCTGGAGGCCTCTGACTTAAAGGGCAAACAGGCATCAAGAGAAGGTCATCGTGATCAATTTCTTCAGTTCTATCACTGTAAAGTCAAGACAAATTTACATAACATTAAATCAAGGCTTCAAAAATGGTAGTGCTGTTGGCTGAAAGGCAACAGCTGATTGCACGCTTCTCAAAGTACAGGCTTATCCACAGTCCTCACAGTACCATCGCCTAACAGCAGACTTCTGAAAGGGCTCGCTACAACTCTTCTCAACCTCCCATCTCAGAGTTTGACCTGTAGTTTGTACTGTTGACAGAATAAATCATCCAAACTGGAGAAACGTCTAATACGAATTACCTGCTATGTGCTGATCCTTTATCATTCCAAAGGCTATAAATAAATTCCAGTGGCTGTAAGTGGCACAGGAGATGACACATCTTTCTCCTGAAGAACAACTTGTAGATTCAAACCAGCCGCCTTGGGGTTGGCAGTTCAACTCTACCCACTAGGCCATCAGAGCTCCTATGGATCATCTAAATTGTTAAAATTCTGCGCTGCGCCTATTTTATCAGCTATGGCAAAGGACAGGGAAGAATTCAAGATACTAAAGAGTTGAA